CCTCGAACAATTCTTGATTCAGGGTCCTAAAATTGTTTGGGGGGGAGGGGAGGGGGGGGCGTACATACTAAACAGGGTCCAACATTATTAGGAATATATAAGGACCCTAACATAATTACCATTACCTCTTGTGGTCACTATTAGTGGGTGGGGGTCCAACCTAAGGTATAATAGTTAACTGATGTTATTCAGGCATGTACCGCATAAAGCTTACACGCTGACAAAGGCCAAGAAGTTGTACAGCCTTTCCTATCGGAATGAAGCCTTCAATGGACGACCCACGAGCATTCCCGCAAGGCTTTCTCAATTGAAGCTGGCGTCTGCATCAGCAACTGCTGCTTGTTCTGGTGATCCTCATGCTGGCCGCGTAATGACTCCAGCTCCTCAATACAATGGTTATATTGGGGTTATATTGGGGTTATATGGGGGTTATATGGGGGTTACATGGGGATAATGGAAAAGAAAATGGAAACTACTATATTCAGGAACGCGAGGAGGCTGCTTTCTAAACAGCTTTCCGGCAGTCATTGAGGATACCGTGTCTAGGTTCCAGCATCATACAATATTTCCCAAGAACTAACACATCCAGTGCTAGTTTTCCCAGTCTGGCTTCATGAATACCTGCTGGCTGCAGTTACTTGCTGGAGGTCAGTAGGAAATAAGGGAATCTAATCCCTATACGGGTAATTCCAAATGCAAAGCTTCAACGCAGCCACTGCTCAGGGGAAGGCAGAGTATCTCAAAACGCGGGTGCGCACATATGCAGTTCTTGAAATGGACAGTTTTAGGGCGCAGGGTTTAGGGTTTAGTGAGATTTGAGGGTGTAGTAAATCTTTGAGGGTGTAGGGTTTAGGGTGTAGTAAGTCTTTGAGGGTGTAGAGCTTAGAGTTTAGGGTGTAGTAAGTCTTTCAAGGGCCCCTGTGAGGTGTCCATGCTCCTTTGGGCGAGGGCACTTGACTGGACCCTTCTGCGCTACTGCTGACTGGTGGTGCCCCTAAATCGATTCTCAAATTGTACTGTTGCTTCTTGACCTGGATGGGCTTCATTTGGGTTTTGTGTTTAGGGATTAAGGTTTAGGGTTTAGGGTTTAGGGCTTTGGGTCCTGCCCACTCATAAACCAGTCTATCTATCATAGGGGCCATACTAAGGGCTCTTCATAATTATACTTATACTATAATTACCGGGGGCAGTACCCAAATATACCAAAATCATGGAGTCCACGAAGCCTCTTTTCCCTGAAACTTCGGAAATCTTGCAGTTCTCTAGGATAAGCGTCTTTGTAGATGCTACCACAGTAGAACCCGCGGTCAAGCCTCTGAAGCTACAACCCGACACCCCAAATTCTGGGTTGCTGTTAAGGAACTTAAATTAAGATACTATATTGGGTAAACCATATTATTTACTATATATACCCATTATGGTAACCCTGAACCCTAAACCCTAAACGCTAAACCTCTGCAAACTTGGGGCCGCCCCAGGGCCTAAACCTTATCCTCCCCCAACTAAAAAAGTTTAAACTTTAGTATAGAAACCCAAAAAGGAAGCCCAAAAAGGAAGCCCAAAAATTTTAAAGTTCTTCTATTGGCTAAGTAAGACTACTTACTTGTCTTCTCAAAGAAGGCTTTAAAGAGCTCTGTCGCGGTTCTCCAACCAAAGGGCCGACACCCCCCCCAACAGGGCTCTGGGCGCCTTGAGGCGCTCCTGCTGCTGCTCTCGCCTGTGTTGCTGGCGCGGAGGGTTGTGAAGGGTGCTTGCGGGTGGACATCATATACTATAGTAGTTTCCGTTTTCTGTTCCATTATCCCAATAAAAAGCCAATATACTACAGTAGTTTCCATTTTCTTTTCCATTATCCCAATTAAACCCCAATGTACTATAGTAACTTCGATTTCATTTTCCATTATCCCGATAAAATCCCAATATACTATAGTAGTTTCCATTTTATTTTCCATTATCCCAATATTCTCCTAGGAGTAGGGGCAGAGCCAGGGAACCAGCCCAATTGAAAACAATGCCTTTCACTACCTTTTGCAAGGGCTCTAAACTCTGAGATTTCTTGGCTTCAGATACGGATAACCCGCATAAGCCTGCAAGCTCCAGGATCGTCCCAATTCTCCACTCATTCGCAGTCCCCGTTTTTCGGATTTAAGGTTTAGGGATCCCATGAACCGAAAATCCCTCCCAACCCATCATGGACACGCTTGAAGCTTAAAAGTCTGAGCAGCAGAGGGTTTGATTGTCAAATTTCCCCCTTGGGGGATCGGGGTCCCAATGTAGGGGAGTCAAAATCATGGGCTAACGTATGTCAGGATTCTCGTCTTTGAAGGGGGACAGCAAAGGGGCTGTGCTCGGAGAATCTTCCATGGAAGCCCTATAGTCCCCCTTAAGTAGATAGAATATGGGATATGTGGGGATCTTATTAAAGAATACCCAAAGCCATACTCTATTTACTTGAGGGGGCTATATACAAGTGCTAGCTACCTAGGCTGTAAACCTCAGCAGGTTTTGGCCAAGCGACTGTATCGTCTCTGCTTTCAGCTTCTCCTCCATCAACAGTTTCATCTCCTTTTGCGCACGATTCAGGAACACATTTTGTAGCATTAGCAGAGCTCATGTGCAGAAGTATAGGGGTAATGTGATATATTGGACAGCCGAAGGTGTCTGAGTTTTTGATTTGGTCCCCAGTCCATGGGCGTAGGGGTTTCCGGAGTTTGAGCTCAAGGGTCCGCCAGTTGTGTGTTCAGTGCTCAAGGCACAGATCATAGGGGATTCGAAACCACAAGAACTGCTGCAGCACATTCTAGCACCACCTCTCGCTAGCATCGCCAGCCCAGTCATTAAGGATTGATATCTTTGGATATGTCAGCGTTTGCTATTGCTGCTCTCGTAGATTGGAAATGTGCAGTCGGTACGCTGCAACTGCACGGCGACCCTCGACTTGAATCAGGGCTTCAAAAATCTGCTATACATTCCTGCAAACCATCCTTAACCGAATCCGGGCTAAGCAGACTTCCGCCCTTCTAAGTGAGGCCTGCATCAGGCTCCCTGTTTGTTTGAGGAATGCGGGACTTCAGACAGAACCAAATTGCAGGAGCCCAGAAATCGTGAACCCTAAAGCCTACGCTGCTTGAGGCTTACAGCCTGAAACTAAGACAACCTAACAACACAAAGGATACCACAAAGCTTAAGCTTCGTCGTGAACAAGTTGACCCAATCTTAAAAATCTCAGTTACAGAGTCGTATGCTGACTCCTCCCTTCCTATGCCACCATGAAGCCAAACCCGCAGTAAGGCAAGTGGTAGCTGTTGACACAGCACCCCATACCCAGACCCCGTAAAGGATATGAAAAATGGAACCCCCTAATAATCCCCTGATTTCCCCCATGTAGTAATGGGTTGATTTTAGGGGGGTGCCATTTTTTGGATCCTTTAGGGGGTCTGGGTAGTCCGGGCCAAGTCACCGACTTGGTGCCCTCCAAATGCTGGGCCCCGGCCATCTTCTCCTGGAGCCTCAGAGAGAAAGAGAGATTGGAGGAGATCTAATAGTAATAGTAATCGCACTAGTAAGAGTAATAATAGTAATAACAGTGTTAGGGTTCCGAGGTTAGGCTGTAGTGTATAGGGTGTACAAGTCTGAGCATTGGGTTTAGTTTTTCAGGTTTGTGGCTCAGGGTTTGGGTGTACCAAGAGAACCTTCTCTCTCTTAGTCTAGACACAGACTGGACAGGAGGCTGGCAGAGGTGTAGGCTTATGGATCTTCTGGGCAGGTGCTACTATTTGGTGGATATGTAGGGTCGTTGCTTTAGAACACATGGGTGTCCAGCATCTCCCTTCAACAACAGCTCCGAATCTGTAAGCTCTATTTTGAAGAACTTGTCGGAATTTCCCTGCATGAGCACCCAAAAGTTCTGAGAAAACTGTCTCAGAATCAAGCTCCTGTGCTAGAATGCTCTTAGACCAGGGAGCTTATGCTCCAAGAGCTGTTCCAGGATTTTGCCGCCAAATACGTTCTCGCTGCCCACGGTACCTTCATCACCGCCCGCAGACTTCACGATGATGCGGCAGACCTGAAGAAGCAGCCCTTACTACTTTTTACGAAATTTAGGGCTTCAGGACATGTACCAGTGGGAAATTTAATGCTAGAGGGTGAGTGGGTTTAATATTGAGGGAGGTAAGTACAGTCCAGACGTTGTTATGTAAGACTTGAACATGATAAAACGCTGTGGGATTATCCCTTCCCTCTGCAGGAGCCAGATGCAACAGAGCCATCACGGTCATGATAATGGTGTGAAGTCCCCCAGCTTAGCAACAATTAAAGAACATGACAGGGCAGGAACAGTAATAGCAAATTGCAGCAAGAATTGCAACGGGAGTAAGGCAACAGACCTCACCCGTGCTGAACATGCCGTTACCGCCCAAACCCTGAATTCACGACCTAGTCACCAGTCAATGCAGAATCTGCGCCGCTTAGCTGGAACTGAACTTACTTTGGCCTTCAGAGATATTTCAGGTGCGGATATAGGAATCCTAGGAGTATATGAGGGTTACATCCAGCTTTTATCAGAGAAACTTTTTCCTTAGATCCACCGTGGCTATACGACCCATGGATGAAGGTGTGTATGCATGTCCGTGCAGTGCCCGAGGGCGGCGCGGGCACGGATTTGTGCGGTAGCCGGTAGCTACAGTCATGACCCAAAAAACACCCTATATAAACCCCCATATAAACATATAGAAACCCTACATAAATCCCTATATCAACATATACAAACCCTCTAAAAAATCTGAAACTTATATACAACCTATATAAACCCCTAAATCAACATTTAGAAACCCCTACATAAGATAGAATATGGCTTTGGGTACATTATAATAAGATCCCCATATACCCCATATGCTAGCTACTTAAGGGGGACTATATATATATATATATCTCTCTCTCTCTCTCTCTCTAAAAACCCTACATAAACCCTCTGCCTCCTCGTCTGGCGTTGACGCAGCCAGGCCAGGCCCTAGGTCGGCGTACTTCGCGCGGAATGCTTTCCTAAGTTGTGGGTTTAGGGTTTTAGGGTTTAAGGTTTAGGGTCTAGGGTTTAGAGCTTAGGGTTTGGGGAGGTGAATATCGGTAACCTTATAGGGGTATTTAAGGCAAGGATTGTTGTAGGGCATTTTCCCTTAAGCGCGAGTAAGTTGTTGTTGCTGCTATGGAATATTGAAAGGCGTCTTTAGCGTTTGTTTCGGAGCTATACAGTGGTAATATTTCGATTATATAACCTCAGCTTCCACTACATGTTCCTTTTTTTGTATTTGATCCTCCATGGTTTAGGGGCAATACCCCTTAGAGAGTTCAAGTGGTTTCGGTTACCATGAAAGCTGAACCATCAGCGAGATTGTGGCGATCAATCGTGGCGTCTTCTGTGCGGCGGGAACAGCAGAATCTTGTTTGGATCTACGGCTTCTTCAGACCTGCACAAGCAACCGACAGCAAAGTTTCCAAGTGCTTCCTGGGCTCAGTGACCATACGAAGCAGTAGTTCTTCTCCTTGCCCAGATCGTAAATTGTAAACAAGCAAAGGCACAAAAAAGATTGTATTATTGCTTTGCTACGAGAACCCATGAGACAGTCCGTCAGCTGCACCATGTCGGCCAGACGCAGGTGTCGAGTTTGGCGAAGCATGACATCTCTGTTCCTGAGATACGCCATGACCATGGCTGTGCGAGTGCGTCATGATTTCGATTCACTTCTACGCACATCCAGTCAAAACCTCACGTTCGGACCCAGAGGAAAGGAAGATCTGTTGAACCTAGCGAGCTTTGCCTGATGTGCATGAAGGCTCGAAAAGTTTCGCACATGAAGCAGAAAGACCGACTGCATTGAACAGCCTCTTGACTACTCCCGCAGCAGTCCCGACAATATCCTTCCGATCTTACTTCATCTTGCCACAAATGCCACGAAGAATACTACTATTCCTGGTATTGCTTCTTCCAACTCCGACTACTGACTACGAACCATCATTCTGTGCAGCTTGTCTGCATCAAGTATCGCAAGCATACGTGTCTTTCTCATACATGTTCACGTCTGCGCTTGTCGGCGGCAAAGACCAAAGATTTCGCCAAGGCGCACGCGGTCGGCGTAGCCCCCGTCATTGGGGCGAAGGCAGCAGATCCTGAGCAAGAGTGACCTCCGCATTGTATAGGCATTTAGGCCCTCTCTCACGAATCATGACCACACAGTCGGACAAAAATGGATCTATGTTTGGTCAATCCCCCCTGTACAAATAGCTCCTTAATATGGAGTTAATAGGGCCGTATATATCTACAATAATCCCTTGTGGTACCCGTTACTGGGTGGGGGATTCACCCAAGATCCATGGTACCTACACTCCTCCTGCCTACCTAGGAGTTCCCTAGCAGGATTCCCTGTTGCGCACTGCAAGATGCTAGTGTTTAGGGTTAAGTTTAGGTTGTAGAGTTTAGGGTTTAGGGTTTGGGGTTAAGTTTAGGAGCCCACAGTTCTTGAGAACCCCCGAAGATATAATTTCTTCAAATGCCCACTATATGCAACCGACCCGCATAAGCCCCTGGTAATACTCATGGTTAGCGAAAGAACCTAAAGCCCCAAATCTTCAACCCTAAGCCTAAAACCCTCAACCCCAAACCTAAAACCC